GGAAACTTAACCAAGTTCCTGACAGACCTGTACTCTGAAAACAATAAATCACTGATGAAAGAAATTGAAGATGACATCAACAGAAAGATATTCCATCTCGTTGACCGGAAGAACAAATATTCTCAAAATGTCTCTACTACCCCGAGCAATCCACAGATGCAATGCATTCCCCATCACATTACCAACATTTTTCACAGAACTAGCACAAATAACTACTAAAATCTGTACTGAACCACAAAAGATCCCAAATAGCCAAGGCCATCTTGAGAAAGAAGAACAATGCTAAAGGTATCACGATCCCAGACTTCAAGATATACTACAAAGCTACATTAATCAAAGAGTATGGTGCTGGCACAAACAGAGATACATATGTATCAATGGAACAGAAAAGAAAAACCAAAAATCAACCCATACTTACATGGTCAGTTAATCTTTGACAGAGGCAAGAATGTACAATGGGGAAAAAACAGTCTCAATAAATGGTGCTGGGAAAACCGCAAAGCTCCATGCAAAAGAGTGAACATGGACCACATTCTTACACTATACACATAAATAAACTCAAAATGGATTAAAGACCTAGATTTGAGACCTGAAACCATAAAACCCCTAAAAGAAAGCCTAGGCAGTCATCTTGGACATGAGGCTTAACATTTTTCTAGATGTGTCTCCTTAGAAAAAGGAAACAAAAGCAAAAATAAACCACTGACACTTCACCAAAATAAAAAGCTTTTGTACAGCAAAGGAAGCCATCAACAAAATAACAGGGAACCTATGGATCGGGAGAAGATACCTGCAAATGATGTATCTGATAAGAGGTTAATATACATATATCTATATCTATATCTGTCTCCTACAACTCAACAGCCAATATATATATAAGAACTCATACAACTCAAAACCAGAAAAACCAAATACTCCTATTAAAAAATGGGCAGAGGACCTCAATAGACATTTTTCCAAAGACATCCAGATGGCCAACAGACACATGAAAAAATATTCAGCATCACTATTCATCAGAGAAATGCAAATCAAGACCACAAGGAGATAGCCTCAGACTGGTCAGAATGGTGATATCAAAAGGACAAGAAACAACAGGTGTTGGCAAAAATGTGGAGAAAAAGGAACCCTTGTGCACTGCTGGTGGGAACGTAAACTGGTGCAGCCCTTGTGGAAAACAGTCAGAGGTTCCTTAAAAAATTAACAGTAGAACTACCACATGATCCAGTAATTCTACTAAAATAAAGTCACTAATTCAAAAAGATATATGGGGGTGCCTGGGTGGCTCAGTCAGTTAAATGGCCAACTCTTGATTTCTGCTCAGGTCATGACCTCAGTGTCCTGGGATCAAGCCCCACGTGAGGCTCCGCGCTCAGCAGGGAGAGTCTGTTTGAGGTTTCTCTCTTGCTCTCTCCTTCCGCACTCCCCAGCCCCTTACTCTCGCTCTCAAATAAATACATAAATAAATCTTAAAAAAAAAAAAAAAAAGATCTATGCACTCTTATGTATACTGCAGCATTATTTATGAAAGCCAAGTTGTGGGAACAAACTAAGTATCCATCCATAGATGAACAGATAAAGATGCGGTATCAGTGGAAGCTGACTGAGCCATAAAGGAAGGCGATCTTGCCATTTGTGACAACACGCGTGGACCTAGTGAGGATTATGCTAAGTGAATTAAGTGAGACAAAGAAAGACAAATAGCGTATGATTTCACTTCTATGTGGGATCTAAACAGAAGCAGACCCATAAAGACAGAGAACAAACGGGCAGCTGCCACGAGGAGGAGGGCCAGGGGATGGGCAAAATGGGCCCATTTTGTCCAGGCTTCTAGTTCTGGAATGAATGAGTATGGGACAAGGTACAGCAGAGAGAATACAGTGAATGCTACCGTACTGGTGCTGTGTGTTGACAGGTGGTGGTTACACTCGTGGTGAGCACAGCGCAAGTACAGACCTGTCAAATCACCATGTTGTACACCGGAAACTACTGTAGCATGTGTCAACCGTGCTTCAACTTAAACAAAAACTGAATGAATAAATGAACAGATCTCAGGCTCCTTCTTTACAATCAGGCTCTCACCAGCTATGTGACCCTGCGCCAGTCTCTCCAGCCTGAGTTTCCCCAGGTACAAACGGAGATGATACATCCTGGGATTTGTGTGGAATCAAGTGGGACAACGCACAGATGGCATTAAGCAATCTATGGCACAGAGTAAGACGTCAGCCGTCACTACTCCCGAGTCTGCTGCTGCTGCTACTTCTAACAGCAAGTATTTTCTGAAGTGCTTTCAAGACATCTGAGTTGAAATGGTTTCATGAACCATTAGGAAAATGGATATACAGGAGATACAGGGTGGGAAGTCACCAGTAATACATAATGGCTGAAACCAGGAGCGGGGAGCAGATGAACACAGGGGAAGCTTTCTGAACAGCAGGACACCAAGACAGACGGAAGGAAGGGGCTCTGGGAAGGAAATGATGCAGGAGCAGGAGAGGCCGGTGACCTAGAGGCAAAGTCAGGAGGGAAGGTGGCTAGTGGCTTTAAATGCTGCACAGATAAAATAAAAACTAACGACGACCCTGACCCTGCATCTGGCAATGAGAGAACCGCCATGGACCTTTACAAGAGCGATTTCTGTCGATGGGGACGAAGCAACACGAACGCCTGGAGGAAGGCAGGAGAGGGTGAGGGACCGGACACTGGAGCCAACAAACTCGATCTGGAAGTTTAGAGATGAAGAGAAGAGCGGGGAGAGTAGTATACGTGGGGGGAGGGACGCCTAACACTGTTTCTAGGCAGAGGGAAAAGAAGATAAAGGTCCAGGGTGATAGGTGACCACTGACCAGGTGAGGCCTTGGAGAAAGGAGGAGAAGGAGACACAACGCTGGACCGTGGGAACAGACAGGTGCAGAATAATGCTTCTCAGACTTCCATGTGCATGTGAGTGACCTGGGGGTTAGTTAAAATGATTCGCACAGCCTGGGGTCAGGCCTGGGATTCTGTATCTCTAACAGGCCTGCAGGTGACACTGATGCCTGCCCACCAACCACACTCTGAGCAATACGGGTGGAGATCACCGCTTCCTCTGGCACAGACGTGCAGACAGAAGGGAGTTCATAAAGGGAGACGAGTTGTGAGGGTTTTGCTGTATGCGTACTGAAGCCAGCTGGGATGAAGACGGCAGGTGCGATAAAGAGAAAATCAAACGAGTCAGGTACTCAAGCCTTTGGTGACTGTTAACATGACTGTTCCCAGGAGCACTACTCGCAAAGGTTAACGACAGAGGACTTGTTACTGGAAAGTGGTCAAGGGAAGAACGATACGCAGAGGACAGAGTAAAGCTGAGTGGCTAAGAGGGATGAGTGAACAATGAGAATCACAACTGGGGAGTGACTCTGGATAACGGCAGGAAGGAGATGTTGAGAGGTCAACAGTACTGACAAGAACGGCCCAGCACTCAGCTGAAACCAGAACCTCACGGGACAACAGTAACAATGTATTTTGTGGATTACTGTTTCAAAATGATTTGCCACTGTCCCATTCGTCTTCACAGAGAAAAGACTAACAGAAAATGACCAGGGGCAAAATGTGCCTTCACTAACACTTTTAAATTAATAGAGGTTAACAGAAGTTAAGATCGAAGACATCCACATGGCCAACAGACACATGAAAAAATGCTCACCACCTCTGCTCCGGGGAAGCACATATCAAAACCACAGGGAGCTATCACTTCAGACCTGTCAGCACGGCTGGAATCCAAAAGTGAGAGGTAACGAGTGCTGGCAAGGATGTGGGAAAACGGAAACCGCGGTGCACTGCTGGAGGGAGTGCTTACAGACTGGTGCGGCCACCGTGGAAAATAGCAGGGAGGGTCCTTAAAAGGTGAGAAATACTGGCAATTCCACTCGTGGGTATTTATCTGAAGAAAATGAAAACACCAATGTCAAGAGATCTATGCACCGTTCTGCTCCCCGCGGCACTATTTACAGCAGCCACGGTACGGAAGCAGCCCACGCATCCAGCGACAGGTAAGTGGATAAAGACGTGGTGTCCGTGTACAATGGACGGTTACTGAGCTGTAAAAGGAACGGGAGCTCGCCATCTGTGACAACGTGGACAATCTAGAGGGTGCCATGTTAACTGAAACAAGTCAAACAAAGAGACAAATACCATCTGATTTCATTCGTCCATGGAATCTACAAAATAAAACAAAACTCCGAGTCCCAGATACAGGAGACAGACTTTGGTTACCACCAGCGGAGTGGGTGAGATGTTGAACCAGGTGAAAGGGACAGAGAGGTACCAACTTCCATCATACAGCAAGTCAGTCACAGGGATGCAAAGGGCAGCATGGGGAACGGGGATGGTAATGTTGGTGTAACTGGGTATGATGATGGATGGAACCAGACTATCACGTGAGCATTTAGTACCGTCTGTCAGTGTGGGCTCACTGTTGTGTACCTGAAAGTCATATGCTATTGTACGTCACCTACACCTTAAGACAGAGTTAACAAAATTTAAAGTGGACAAGTCTTCCCCTTCTGTACTTTAAATACCAGTCTTCACGTATTATTGGAATACTTAAATATTTAAAGTCCCCGTGGGGACATTAAAGTCCAAACTCCTAGGAAAGAAGCTGTAGTATGAAATCCCCTATTGTGCACGTGCCGTCTTATAATAAAAGAAATATAATTATAAAATTTTAAGGTGGCATTTCATGATTTCAATATTGCCCACCTTCCTTTTTAAAAGACTATCAAGTTGCGGCAGTTAGTTTAAAAAAGAATAGACCTGTTCCTAGAGTCCAAACTGAGAGGCAGGTGTAGACCCCCGCCCTATTGAGCTCTGGATCATTATGTACCCAGGAGCAGTGTGGGAGCCCCCCGGAGGCTGCTGGCCCCCTGCGTCCACTCGTCTACGGGTAAAGGGCTTGCCGCCGGCGGCTCTGAAGCACCCGGTCTTCTAGGTAGAAGAAGCGTGAGACCACGCGCCGTCCTTACCCCTTCACTGGTTTTCTGCAAGTCTGAAGTCGTGTTCCTTGTGTCATTGCCGGCGTCTCCGCCCTCAGAGCTGCTTTTGTTTTCCTCTTCTTTGCAGTCCTTGTCATCTTCATCTCCTGGAGATTTCCGGGACTGTTTAGAGGATTTCTAAACGTTTGGACAAGTTAAAAATGATAGTCAAAAGCACAACTCCAATGCACAAGTGTAGGTAAGAAACACAGAAGTGGCTGACTTACATCCAATCATGGGGCTCACTACGGACATACCAGCACCACAGTGCGGTGTGCCGAGGCTGGGCCAGGTGACCTGGGACACACCGTGTCACCTCACTGGGCCTCAGTGTAACCAGCTGGAAAAGGAGGTACAGGTGCACTCGATGACTTGTTCGTTCTTTCCAGCAGTGCAATGGAAAAGCAGAAAAGAAAGATTCATGTCCCCGGGGCACTGCCAAAGGATGAATGACAGCCAGATGGACAGCCCGGCGCCACCTTTGGGGGCTACTGGGCTAGAAGGCTTCCCCGAATTTCACAGCAGAAACTCAGGTCTCAGGAGAGTGAGCTGAACTAGCTAAGACAATAGATGAATATTCATGTTAGGACACCTGTTGAAGCTGCCTGGTAAAGAGCAGAAAACATTTATATCACCCTGTGATAGCAACTAACTTTAATCTTTTTAAATTAGGGATGATTATTGAAGAGCCTGAGGGAACCCGCCCTTTTTTCTTATCACCTTGCCTTTGAAATCAAGATGAACTCCAAGGAAGATGAAAATACAGTTCTAGTTTACAGCCAGAGCTGTTTTGCAGAAAGCTTTAAAATGATCAAAGGCTGGCCCCGCTGTGCACCTTTAAGAAAGTTTTTACTTTTTTTTTTTTTTTTTACCATTTCACTAACATGTCCTCTCCAGAATTTTAAGAATCTTTAAGCACACGGCAAATAAGAGCTGAGGCAAAACTGATTTAGCCATGTCACTTTCGGTCTTCCAGAAATAATTAGCAAATTGGAGCTTCCTCAGACAATCAGTATTTTAAACCCAACTTCCAAAGAGAAAGTATCTTCTAGCTACGTGATGGAGCATGTAATTACACTGCTTCTATTTTACTTAACTGAAATCACCAACCAAGCCCAAATGTCAGTTTAAAATGAGGTCATCTTTACTTTTTACAGGAAGGAAAAGCAGAGGTTTAATAATCCAAATGTGGAGTGTCTACGGTAAAGCTAAGATCAAGTATGACAATACAGAAAGCAAACTACTTTTTGTTTTCCTAGTAAATACAGTATGGTTACTGAAATGTAGTAACTGCTTTAGGTAGTAATTCTCAAGTAATGGTTTCTGGCCTACAGTTCTTCGAGGTAGTAACACACAACTCCCTAAAGTTCACAATGCTTACCAACGATCCTAACGAGCAACCCCACCGTGAAACTGTAAGTGCTATCGTTTGGCACATGGACCAGAATTAGGACAGTACAGAAGTTCTGCTCAAGGGTCACATTCAGTACTCGAAGAAATCTGGCTGCCCAGCTAGATTTGGTAACGCTGCAAAGCTCTTAGCAAACTCAGATCACGGCAATTTTCCGGGGAAGGACCCTCCAACTGTTTCGGCACTATAGTCTTGAATTGGTTGGGGGTCCAACTCTTGCCACCTTTGTTTTTTTAACTAAGATGACTAGTGGGGTTAGCATCATCACCAGTGTTGTGAGGCTCTCTGACCTGCCCTACTTTATACAGTAAATAACGTGTGTGTAAAATATTCTGACCAGCACCTGTCATGGCTCAGATAGGAATCATTCGTATACTTACTGCCAAAGAGATAGACACATAACTTCCTTCAAATCTGCTTGCTGACTGAGATGCAGTTAAAAGTTTGTGAACCACTGGTTTTCAGTGGCAAAGGAAGATACTCAACCTTAAGAAGAAGGTGTAAAAAAAGATAACCATACTCAACAAAAAGGAAACATTTGGGAAGCCAAGGGGAAAGGAGATTATGTCAGGAAAGTGCTTCTCTACATGTGGTTCCCAGATCAGCAGCACCAGCCTTAACTGAAAATTTAATTCTCAGACCCACACACCCAAGACCTACTCAAACAGAAATTTAGGCAGTGGCTTAGCAATGTGTGTTTTTAATAAGCCCTCCAGGTAATTCTGATGCGTGTGCAATTTTGAGAACCACTGTGCTAAGTTTCTCAGTCAATACTAAAAATTAAAAATCATCTATGCACTTCCAAAATTTTTGTGTTTGTGCATAATTTATCTCGACAATAAAGAAAATAGTAAAAAGTCAAATTTAAAAATCATGGTTCTTTAGTGATCATGGAATTTGTGATCTTTGGACGAAAAAGATGATTCCTTAATCTAAAACACGTAAACCTTAGTAAGTAAAGTATGTCTTTACCCCTTCACTGCTTTGATATTATATATCCACATCAGGTCTGAGCCCCATGACTTCCGGTCTTCACAACGAATGAGGAAATAATGACACCGAAAAGCCGCATATCCACACTAACAAATGCCTCAGATACCTCAGGTAGCTTACGCAATTTAGAAGGGTACAACACATCACACAGCTCAGCAGGCAATCATAAATTAAAAATATCAACTGAATTGTGCATTTAAGTGAAATCCAAAATACTAAAAAACAAACAAACAAAACAAAACAAAACCATCTTTTAAAAAATGCAATGGAAGATACAGTCTGACAAGGAAAATTCTAATTATTTTGTTGTGATTTGCAAACTTTATCCCCATTCAAGGCAGATACCATGTTTCTCATTAGGTCCGCAGGAAGTAATACGTGATCACACAGTTCCACCTGTATGCTAGCTGGGTGGACTTTATAGATGGTAAAATAAAATGCTGATAATCCAATCAGCTCCTGGTACTTGGTTTTTAAGGAGCTGCCTAAGTCTGGCCAGCCACTAAATACCAGAATCTAAAGGGAAATAATTTATCCAAGTTGTCAATCGTGTGAAAGAACAATTACCGTGAAACCTGTACCAATCTCTGGTCTTCAAAGATGTATTTATCTTGCTTTCAGTTTCTAAAGGTGAACAATTTTTACAATCTCATAGTTTGTTCAACTGCATGTCTAAATTACTGTATGAAAAACCTAGACTTTCAGTGTGTATATCTAAGATCATGTCACTCCTCTGTTTAAAGCCTTCATTAAACTATCATTACATTGGGAATAAACCCAAATTCTTTCAAAGGCTCAATCACTGAGCCTTTGCCTGCCTCTCTCCCTCTTGGTCACGATGTTCCAACCATGCTCGTCTTCCTTCAATTTAGGACACGCCAGACACTTGCTGCCTCAGATTTTAGCTGCTCTGCCCCATCCAGCCCTCCTCCTCTCCTCTTTCTTCAGGCCTCGGCATGAACTTTGCCTCTTCAGAAAAGCCTGACCACTCTATCTGAACTACATGCTCTTCCCACTCACTGCCTTCAGACCCCCTCATAATTTGTATTTATTATTTGCACAGTCTTTAAAGCAGAAAGACAGGTTAGGAGTAGATCTTTCTCTTTTCATAGACGTGTTGTGAATGGTACCGGGTCTCTTACATTCCTAAGTTCTTCCAAGTTCATCTGGAGGTTCCTATAGGAGGCATACCTACTCTTGTACCCTTGACGAAAGAACAGTCCTTCTCTAACTGAGAAGCGGTATTTTCAGTGCCAGATCAGCCCTGAAGATGCCCTCACGTCTAAGGTTACCTGTCCTATTCCCCTTGGCTATCTTACTGTCTCTGGAGGCAGAGGTCCACAGAGCTAGGATACTTCCCTGCACCCAAGGAATGAATTAAGAATCATCTAAAACCTTAAAGAACATGCACATAACATTAATAACAACGGAAAGGGTTCTCAGTCACCTTTGAAGTGTAGGACTTTTTCCGTTTTGAGCCTGCTTTTTCATTCTTTCTTTTGCCTTTTCCATCTTCTTCTACTCTATCGCCTTCCTCCTCACTGCTTGCATCTGCAGTGTTCCCACCTTCTCCCTCAGTTTCTGAGGAGCTCTGCTGCTGAATTGCCTAAGAAATAGCAAGATAGTGGCTAATTACATTTTTGAAAAAATAGTAAAGAATACAGACTGTGAAAAGAATCGTTCTATTTTAACCTGAAAAGGTTCAGCTTACTTTTAAGATTTTCAAAATAAAGGACTGTCAATTTCAATTTTTCCATGACTACTTGACTTGAACCCTCTTGGGTAACAGAATAATACTTAATCCAAAATGTTACTGGAGCTAAAAAGAATTCTGATTTCAAATAGATGGAGGGTAACTACCCGTACAAAGGACATGTAAGAAAGACCCCAAAGAGAGTTAAAAACCAAAGAAATGAGATCTAACAATGAAGCAAATCATTACCTGGTACCCAGTAAACTTCACTCCTGGGTTATTCTCTATTTCCCACAATCCTTCATTAAATCCTTTCCGCTTGTTTGACTTTCCAAACTTGTCTTTGTATTCCTTATATGGAAAAAGGTCTTTCGGACCTAAAAATGCACTGTAGAGATAGATTAGAAATAAAATTGATACTGTGACCTTCAAATACAAACTATTTTTAATATCACTATGGACTAAAGTGTCACAGTATATTTTAGTAAACAAATTAAAAGTATACATAAACCCTCTGAGTTGTGCACATATCATAAAACAGTTTACATATAAATATATAAATATATAAGGTGCCTGGGTGGCTCAGTCGGTTAAGTGTCTGACTTCGGCTCAGGTCATGATCTCAGAGTCCTGGGACGCAGCCCCATATTGGGCTCATATACTCACCAGGGAGTCTGCTTCCTCCTCAATCTCTCTCTCTCTCTCTGTGTGGCACCCCCCGCCCCCGGCTCGTACTCTTGCTCTCCCTCTAATAAATACAATCTTAAAAAGTTTATAAATATACTTCTAGGCAGAAAAAAATGGCCGGCTATATAAGCCAGCAATTCTAGACCATGTAACTTGGATTTTACTTTTAAATTAGCAATTTATTTTTTGTTTTAAAACTTTCGGTTACACACGTAATTTTAAAGATGACCACTTAGATCATCACCTTAAACTAAGACTTATTTATGTTAATCTTCCATAGGTAAGGGTTTTGTGAGATTTACAGTAAAATACAAACACTGGTTATAAAAAGTGACTTTAACTCTATATATCACATTAGTATATTTATTCACTATTATTTTGATAAATTAAAAAATCATTTCAGTGATTAATGAGGCACAAACAAGAAAAAACTCAGATGTAGCAAACACAGAATGTTATGCAATTTAACTTTTTTTAAAAAAATTAATTAATTTATTTGACAGACAGAGATCACAAGTAGGCAGAGAGGCAGGCAGAGAGAGGGGGGAAGCAGGCTCCTTGCTGAGCAGAGAGCCCGATGAGGGGCTCGATCCCAGGATCCTGGGGTCATGACCCAAGCTGAAAGCAGAGGTTTTAACCCACTGAGCCACCCAGGCGCCCCTTAAGCTTTATCCTAATGTAATCATAACCAGAGAAAGAAAATGAGTTTGAATAAATCCTGGGGCCGGCTAAGAGATCTGAGCATTGGGACCAGAGTCCTCAGTATCACCTGCAACATATCAAGCTGGTAAATGAGACGGGAGAGGCCCACATCCTGGCGGACACCCAAGAAGCTTCCATTTCAAACTGAGATTCAGAGAACCTTCCGTCCGACAGACCTGACCGAACACCCGTGAAGGGTCAGGCCCTGCTGCCGTGCTGTGGATTCTGTGCGGACGAGCGGATGAGCACCTCTGCGCTCAAAGAGCACACGTGCTAGGAGGGCGAGCAGGGTTTGGACAGACACAGAGAGCAGAGAGCACAGTACCGTGTGCCAACATAGAGAATGCAGAGAAGGGGGATGGCGAGGCTGGGGGTGCCATGTGGTCGCTTCAGATACATGGATCACAGAAGGCCTCCCTGGCCCGGGAGGTGAGGAAGCAGGCCGGGCAGTATTCCGGGACCAGGGGCACATTTAAGGAAGAGTGAGTACGACAGGCCCCGAGGTGGGAATGCCTACTGTGCTGAGGAAATGAAGAGGCCGGCGTGGCTAGAGTGAGAGCAGGGTGAGAGGAGGTCCGAGAGGGGACCGGCTGGGGGTACAGAGTACGTGGGGCCTTGAAGGCTGCTATCGAGGCTCAGAGTCAGATGAGCAACCATGAAAGGTCTGAGAAGACACGTGACGATTTGTGTCTTAACAGGATCATTCTGGCTGCTGAGCTGAAGAGAGACCCAAGAAGTGGGCACTAGGGTAGAAGCAGGGGGACCCACCAGCCCCCCGGAGTGATGACAGTGACTCGGGCCAGGGTGTGCAGGGTGCAGTGGGCGAGGGGCTGCTGGACCCTGGACTCGTGCCCGTGAAAGAGCCGACGTGACTGTTACTGGGCTGGAGACGCCATGCGAGAGAAAGGAAGGAGGTGAGGCTATCTCCAAGGTGCCAGGCTGGGAGATGAGAACACAGTGGCATTTACCGAATTGAAAGATCTTTGAGAGAACAAGACTGGAAGGTGAAAAGCTCAGTTTGAGATGTTAAGTTTGAAACCCTGGTTTGACATCCAAGTGAGGAGGTCAAGTAGGCAGCTGGAGATGTGATTCTGGAACTCAGAGGAAACGTCTGAGCTAGAGATATCAAAGCTCTGAGAGGTGAGGTAACAGTGTACTGTTGATCTTTATCAATTCCATTTTCTGGGCCATCTTCTCGGGTGCCCTCCCTCATCAGGAGCTTTGTACTATCGCTTGATGCCATTGCTCAAAAAACTTTGTTTCCCACCAAAATATATATATTTTATACTTACATATATGTATATGTATGTATGGATATGTACACACACACACACACACACACACACACACACACACACACACACTCCATTTTCTGACTGGGTCTTAGTACTGATTTCCTCATTGCCTAGCTGATCAAAAACTTTAATTTGACAAAAATATCTGGGGAAGTTTTCTGACCCCAACCACCAAAACTCCCTTGACCTTTAATTGCTTGGTCAACATGATTCTATCTCACTGAATCCAGACATAACTTACTAGGTTACTGGACATTTTAATCAAAGTCATGTCACAGTCTTGTGTGACAAATGGAACGTGAGAAAAGAAATGGACTTTAGGCATGCCCGTCTGACTTTCTGAGAAGTTTGTCAGGCCTTATTCAACTATGGTTTTGACCTTCCTCCAGCAACGGACTCCGAGTGTAGGAATTAGCCATGGGCAAGGCTACGGAGGGCCCATGAGCTGCCGCTGCTAACCAGAGCCTGCCTGTGCTTTTCTGAGGCAGGGCTCATGGTTCCAGTGGCCATCACAGCTGTGGCCAGAAACAAGAGCCCTGAAGGAACTGTCTTAAAACAACGTATTTTTGACACACAACCTTGTTTTCTCCTAGATTACAGAAAGATAATTCCGCACATTGAATTTTCTCCCAACTGGTTAGTGACCCCGCATGTTTCACAAGTCTTAAAGTGTGGGCCAGGAAACAAAACCGTTCGCAGCTCCATGCTCTGCGGGTGGTTTCCCTCCAGGCTAAGGCACCTTGAGAAGTGTCCGAACTAAACCTGCTGGGCTGTTACACGGCGGAGACTGGGGGCTTCGACGACCCGTCTGTCTGGGCACCAGAATAAATTCAAGGCGATGTTCTGAGGAAACCTCTAGTCTGCTTGGGGTGCTCCTCTGGCTGACCAGCACACAGCTTTCTTGTGAAGTTCCTCACCTTTCCTATACTTTTCCCTCTTTCTTTTAGGTCTTTTTAATTTAATTTCCCCCAACAGCGATTGTTTTAAACACTGACCATTGGCCAGGCACCGTGCTGGGCACTGTGCCCACGGGAGTAAGCCACGCCCACACCATCTCCGCCTCTGCAGAGAGGCTGAACACTGGGTATGTGCCAGGCATACAGCTTCAGGCTCGGGGCACCTAATCCTAATACCCAGTCTGCTGAAACTTGAACTCACTGCTGGTTTTGTGAAGTTCATTTTCCTCTAGATGTTTAAAAATCTACCTCTGGATGATCAAACCAGCAAAAAACTCACATATGGATTGTGTAATACCTCTCCTTGGTAGCAGAACCACGTTCACTGAACTGAGGCCTGGAATGACGCCACTGGCTTCCCTTAGGGATGCTATAAAAAACTGCGCTGTGAAACCTTCACACTGTTCACTGGAAGGATCCTATTACGTTCACCAGCAAGACACCCGGTGGCAAGCTCTTCGTTCTACAGTGCATTAAGGAATGCCTAGAAAATGTTTACTAAGTAAATAAAAGTGACCACATAATGTCAGTAAATGGTTGATTTGTCCTATATGGTGGAAATGTGATAATCTTTTTTATTAATGTCTGCCTGGTCCCAGGGATACAATACAATCATCTGGAAATAGGTCCTAGAGAAAAAGCACAGTAATGGTATAGATGTAAACTGGAGACAGGAATGGAGCAAATAGAAAAATATGTATCATAAAGCCCTTTGCACTTATTATAGGTAAAACATCAATCTCTAAACTTTCTAGCAACCTCTATGGAAGAAAACATGGTAATGGTGCATAGTATGTACGCAGTGTCTTTTTTTTTAAGATTTTATTTATTTATTTGACACACAGAGATCGCAAGTAGGCAGAGAGGCAGGCAGAGAAAGAGGGGGAAGCATATCCTCATTGAGCAGGGAGCCCAGTGTGGGGCTCAATCCCAGGACCCTGAGATCATGACCTGAGCCGAAGGCAGACACCTAATGACTGAGCCACCCAGGCGCCCCTACACAGTGTTTTTTAGATAAAAACAAAAGAAAATAAAACCAACTTTCTGAAAGAAACAAAACTATGTCTCACATGAAGCCAAGAAATAAATATGTCTTACGGGCCTTCGGTCTCCTAGCTAGCTCTCTTTCTTTTTTTAATTTTTGTTTTAATTTTTTTAAAGATTTTATTTATTTTTATTGAGAGAGAGAGAGGGAGCATGAGTTCAGGGAGGGACAGAGGGAGATGGAGAGAGAGAATCTCTAGCAGACTCCACGGCGAGCACAGAGCCCGATGCAGGGCTCGATCTCATGACCCTGAGATCGTGACCCAGCTGAAATCAAGTCAGATGCTCAACCAGCTGAGCCACCCAGGCACCCCGTGTCTAGCTCTTCCAGGTAAGAATGAAGATGTCAGAGCGGCAGAGACCGCAAGCTAAGAAGTTCGCGCCTGGCTCTACTACTTCAGATGAACACAAGGGAGGGCCCTGAACCTGAAGACTGTAAGAGACAGTGTTTAGCTTTCCCCCACATCTGCAGTTCCTACTCCATTATGTCCTTGCTCTGACGGACCACAAATATTTCCATTGTGTCAAGACTGCCAACTGTCTCCTAGTATCTACTGTCTTCTTTCTTTTTATTAATGGATTACTCCTTCCAATTATTTCCCCATTAAGAGTTGCCCAGCTGGTGGCCAATTCCAATTCCTGACAGCAAAACGTGGCCACATGACCCAGTCTGTGCCACTGCACTGAATGCAAGTGTATGTGATATACGCAACTTTCTTGTCATTTCCTTACAAAGAAGTTACCTGTTCTTCATGTTCTCTCTTTTCCCCTTCCCTCTACCTGTTAGATGCACAGATGCTGCTAAGCCCTGTTTCGTTTGTTTGTTTTTAAATAAGCAGAAAGGAGCAACACTCCAGGCAATGATAGGATAATGTGACAGAAGGAACCTGGGTCCCTAGAGCACAGTAGTAGTCTACTCACCTCCATCTACCTGCCTATCTCTGGATTGTTTCAGAGAAAGAATATTCTGTATTATTTGAGACACTGTATTTTGAGGTTCCTTTATTTAGCAGTTTAGCCTGTATTCTAACCAATGCAATTTAAAAACCTTATTAAGGTGGTTATGTTTGCTTCAGGGTTCAACAAAATGAAAGAGCCTGAGACAACATAACTTTGTTGTACAATATATAAATGGATGAAGTTTCTCTAAAAGGAAATGTACAAGAGCAACAGAAGAAATTCACTGGGAGTGGTAAGGAGATACCTTAGGACTTAAAAGTGTCCTAAAGGAGATTCTGGGTGATGTCCAACATTTACACAGAAATAACATTTGAAAGCAAAATCAATGAAAAATCTTCACATTAAGAAAAATACATTATTGGGGCGCCTGGGTGGCTCAGTGGGTTAAGCCTCTGCCTTTGGCTCAGGTCATGATCTCAGGGTCCTGGGATCGAGCCCTGCATCGGGCTCTCTGCTCAGCGGGGAGCCTGCTTCCCCCTCTCCCTCTGCCTGCCTCTCTGCCTACTTGTGATCTCTGTCAAATAAATAAATAAAATCTTTAAAAAAAAGAAAAAAGAAAAATACATTATTAAGCTTGGTAATTTTATACAATTGTGATCCTTTTATATAATTGTGATCCTTTATATAACACATAAAATGTCGTAGAACAGGTATAAACATCGTAGTCTAGTAGAGTCAAATTAGAGTTGCTGAAGTTTTAAGTTGTTTTGCTGACTTACGTTTCATGGGTGCCAAAAAAGAAGATAGGATACTTGTTTGCTGGGGGCTTCACAGCTCCCTCTGGGAGTTCATCAATCTGTTAAAAATAAATTTAGTTATTAAATATTCAGTGAAATCATGTAAAATAGCATAAGCATGATATAAACATTGTTCTGATAATTTCAAAATAAAATTATTCTAATCAAAATCCCAATAATTTTTCTTTTTTGAATCTTACAAATGATTCCAAAGTTCCTATCTGGCCCACCATGTGGAGAGTAACACTGTAAATTGATTATAACCATTATAATACATAACCAGGAGCCAAAACTACTCATTTCCTTTGACTTGACAGAACTGCTGCTGGGAATCTGTCCTAGTGAAATAGTTAAAAAGAGTAGTATTAAGAACAAAAAACCCCAAAGATGCACCTTCTGGAGATAACAGTGAATTTTTACACACACACACCCCCACACCCCCAGAAACATGTGCTGTAAGATAAAGAATTATTATGAAAATTAACTCATGAAATATATTGTCATTAAAAATTATCATCTCTTGCCTGGACTTTTGCAAGTCTCTCTTACCACCCATTTAAGCTAGAATTACCTTTGTAAATTTCATTTTATTTTTTAAGTAGTCTCCACCCCAGCGTGGAGCCCAGTATGGAGCTTAAACTCATGACCCTGAGATCATGACTTGAGCTGAGATCAAGAGTCTGATGCCCAACTGACTGAGCCACTCTGGAGCCCTCCTGTTTATTTTTATTTTTAAATATTTTATTTATTTGTCAGAGGGACAGACTGAGAGACAGCAAGCAAGCACAAGCAGGGGCAGCGACAGGCAGAGGGAGAAGCAGGCTCCCCACTGAGCAAGTAGCCCAACACAGGACACGATCCCAAGACCCTGGAATCAGAACCTGAGCCGAATGCAAATGCTTAACTGACTGAGCCACCCAGGTGTCCCTAGAAACCTTTTAAAACAGACATTTGATTATCTCACTTTCTTGCTTCAAATCCTTCTATAACTTTTCATTGCTTATAGCATTCTTAGCTGTGCATATGAAACCTCTGGAACTTTAAAAAAAATATACTTCGGGGGCGCCTGGGTGGCTCAGTTAAGTGTCTGCCTTTGGCTCAGGTCATGATCTCAGGGTCCTGAGATCGAGCCCCACATGGAGCTCTCCTCCCGTGGCCTGCCTGCAGCTCCTCCTGCTTGTGCTCTCTAATAAATCAATGAAATCTTAAAATATATATATTGTATACACACACACACACACACACACTTCAGTCCTCCCCCAGGGACTTACTGATTCCTACATATAGCCGGGCTTGAGGTCCTCTAGTAAGATAAAGTTGAAACCCTTCAGCTATTAGATACTTTTACATCCACAATTCCTTACAGGGTGTCAGGAAGTGGTCCTTGCCTCACAAATCTCCATCCGCAGCCCCAGCCTTGCCTCTGAACTCCTATGACTCGGGCAGGACCACACGGACCTGCAGGCAGGAGACTGCCGAGGTCTACAAACCACTTCCACTCACAGGTCCTCCAAGCAGCTCAAGCTGAAGGAAGCCTATGAAGAGGAGAAGGGGCCCAACTGCAGTTCAGAGAGCAAGAGGCAGGGCGTGGGGCCCGGTCCCCCGAGGAGCTGTGCAGGCCCCCCTCACTCACACACGGCGGCAGCCTGGGGAGGACACCAGCACACGCTCACCCGGAACCTGAGGAAGCCCGTGTCAGAACAGACACCGGGTGTGCGGAGCAAAGGGGAACTTCGAGTCTAGAACATGTAAAGTCCTGCTTCTGATTTAAACTGCGACATCAAAGGTATCACCTCATCTCTTGGGGCCTTGACTTTCACATCTGTAAAATGAGGTGGTTGCACTTGGTGACCTCTCGATTTCCTTCAAGTCCTGAAATACCATGGCTTGTCTAAAACGGAACTAACTTCCCTTGAATCTGTTTTTCTTAATCTTAATTATTGGTATAATCTGTTACTAAGAAAGAAACCTTCATCTTTTTATTATCTCCTCAAGCCCCATATTCAGTTTTTCATCTAATTCTCCCAGATTAGCTCCGGAGATGTCTCTCAAATTGATCACCACTCCCATTGGTAAATTTAGTTCCCTGAACAAGCTCTCATGATCTTTCAACAAGGCCGCTATAGCGGTCTAAGTATCTCCTTGTCTCCAGGCTTCCCCCCCATCCCACCCCGTTACATTCAATACTGCCCTACAAAGACAGTTTAAAATGAATTAATTTAATTTATTATTTATTTATTATTATAATATATTATTATATATATTGTATAATATATATATTATATATTATATAATTATAGTATACTATATTTATATTATTATTATTATCAATATAATTGACTAAACATTCAATAATACATGTGTGTGGCAATATATGGTAAAAGCCATAATTTTATGGGGCATCTGGGTGACTCAGTGGGTTAAAGCCTCTGCCTTTGGCTCAGGTCATGATCCCAGGTCCTGGGATCGAGCCCCGCATCAGGCTCTCTGCTAAGCGGGGAGCCTGCTTCCCCTTCTCTCTCTGCCTGCCTCTCTGCCTACGTGCAATCTCTCTGTCAAATAAATACATAAAATCTTTAAAAAAAAAAAACCATAAAATTTTCCATCTTAACCATGTTTAAATGTATAGTTCAGTAGTAACAATATTCATTGTTGTGACATAGATCTCCAGAAAGTGAATAACTGTATTTTTAATGGACCAAAAAATGGAACTTAAAATGGAAATACATGTTAAATATGCGGTGGGCATACTGTTTTGTCGCTCTTATAAAAAAAAAACTGAAAGTATACAATTTAAAAAGAAATCTTTTAAAACCTTCTTTCCAACAAAAATACAACTTTTGGTTAAACTCTTCTTTTGCTATAATGGTACATAAGTAGCATCTACTGCAGACGTCGCAAAGTGATGGCCCTTGGGCCATTTTTGGCCGGAAAATAAATTTTGTTTGGCTCATAGAGTTTTTTGCTTTTTAACTGAATTAGTTACCAACACTTTAAAATGGGAAGATTCACATTTAAATCCACGTTAATAGCTTCTGTCAAAATAATATAAAAGACGGGGATAAGCAAGAATTCCCACAGGGCGACACTTTCCAACATTTTCAACGGTTGCCACCTTTAGACAAAGTATGTGCCCTCAAGTATGTTTGTTACTAGAAACATAAAAGCCCACCGCTTTCTAGATAATGTAAATGCTTGTGTTCCTTATTTATATTGTTTACCTGGCCCTTTGGAATATTTGAGTCTGTGTCCCTGTAATAAATACTGTCAAAAATAGCATAACCAGCCTTACCACCAGGAAGCTGTTACTCACTGCATTTTATTGAGAATCTTTGTTTTTTTTTAAATTTTTTAAATTTTATTTATTTCTTTGACAGAGACAGATCACAAGTAGTCAGAGAGGCAGGCAGAGAGAGAGGAGGAAGCAGGCTCCCTGCTGAGCAGAGAGCCCGATACGGGACTTGATCCCAGGACCCTGAGATCATGACCCGAGCCGACGGCAGAGGCTTCAACCCACTGAGCCACCCAGGCGCCCTGAGAATCTTTGTTTTTAACTCTTTTGAAAATTAAGACTTTGGCAATTCTGGAGTAACAAGTTGTTCAAGTAGATACATCTTCCTGAACTAATTAAAAAATGTACCTCCCAGGCACTGTTTTTTGGCTCCCAAGTGAATGGCAAGTGGCTACAGGACTTTATCTTCAGTTTGTTTTTCTCTACTGTTTCTGTTTTCCTGACTTTGTACTTTGTATTTTTACTTTTGTTTCTCGTTCTTGGCTCTGTTTGGTTTTGATTCTGGTTTGTACACAGCCAAATGTTATGCCCTATTATAGGATGCTGATGACCTCTTGCCTTTCAGAATGACATGGCCAAAAAAAAAAATCTGGTGTATTAGTCTTTTCGTTTGCAGAAGAATATCTGGCTTCTATTAGAAAGAAGAAAAGCCCTTTGGAGACCTAGATCAGTGAATGTGTGTGTTCTGTGCCTCCTTTAACCTGGACCTGAACCTGTAGACCTGAAGCCACAAGCTCTCTGTTTGTACTTGACAGTACAAACCCCTCCTTTTGTGATTTTGAAACATTTTTCTACCCAGAAAAGGATCTTAACAAATTATATATAATTTTCTTAAAATAAAAGAGCTCTTTTTATTGGTTTGCAGATACTAATATGACTTACAAAAATGTGATATAAAGGAAAAATAAAAATACACGTATTACATAAACCTAAGGTTTCTTTACATTACATTCCTATATAATATGAAGGAATATAAAACCTAAGATATCCTCAGGAGGAAAAAAAGTGAATGTACAGTATGTTCAATATGATAGCCCTATTGTTCTTTATTTATTTGTCTGCTTTGATCATTAGAGAGACACTCAGGGATGTCAGTTAGAGACCAAGCCTCTATCCCTTGAAGTCTACAGGTCTACAGCCCTATGGGAGGAAGGCAACCTCTTATTTCCTAGAAAACCGAAGAGTTTCATCCCTGGACCGTCACCCTTAGTGTTTCCTGGGGACTCGCTAGAAATGCTAGTTCTCATTCCAGAATCCTAACCAACTGACTTAGACACCTTGGGAGTTAAGCCCAAGAATCGAATCGATGTTTTAAGAAGACGCCAGCTGATTCTGAATTACACTGTAAGATGTTCCAGCCTCTTGCTGTGGTTCCTGCGGGTGGACTGCCTTCATTTCTTGTGATTAATATGGCTCACTTTATCTGCAGGACTTTTGCACCAAGATTGCAAAAATGCCCCAATGCAGGATTGTTTTCCTAATGCTTTAAAATGTATAAAATGCCAACATTTCTGTTTTTTATTAAAGGAGTACTGTATTATGTTTAATGTGGTGACCATCTAAGAAAAAAATCCTTCTCACAGAAACTGATAGGTCAGAGGCAACTATATAAAAAATCCAAATTTAACTAATCAAAGTGAACAAATCAGACTGGTGATAATTTTGGTGTAAAAACAACTTTGTGTGGATTTAATCATTGTAGAATGTGATATAAGCAAATGTTTTATTTTAAGTAAAATTTGGGTTGGTTTTCTAATGAAGACACTA